AGGCTGAGGGACTGACCACCTTCTCCAGGCTGAGGGACTGACCACCTTCTCCAGGCTGAGGGACTGACCACCTTCTCCAGGCTGGGGGACTGACCACCCTCTCCAGGCTGAGGGACTGACCACCTTCTAAAGGCTGAGGGAATGACCACCTTCTATAGGCTAGGGGACTGACCACCTTCTTCAGGCTGAGGAACTGACCACCTTCTCCAGGCTAAGGTAATGACCACCTTCTCAAGGCTGGGGGACTGACCTCCTTCTCCAGCCTGAAGGACTGACCACCTTCTCTAGGCTGAGGGACTGACCACCTTCTCCAGGCTGAGGGACTGGCCACTTTCTAAAGGCTGATGGACTGGCCACCTTCTCCAGGCTGAGGGACTGACCACCTTCTCCAGGCTGAGGGACTGACCACCTTCTCCAGGCTGAGGGACTGACCACCTTCTCCAGGCTGAGGGACTGACCACCTTCTCCAGGCTGAGGGAATGACCACCTTTTCAAGTCTGGGGGACTGACCACCTTCTCCAGGCTGAGGAACTGACCACCTTCTCCAGCCTGAGGGACTGACCACCTTCTCTAGGCTGAGGGAATGACCACCTTCTCCAGGCTGAGGGAATGACCACCTTCTCCAGGCTGAGGGAAATGACCACCTTTTCAAGGCTGGGGGACTGACCACCTTCTCCAGGCTGAGGAACTGACCACCTTCTCCAGCCTGAGGGACTGACCACCTTCTCTAGGCTGAGGGAATGACCACCTTCTCCAGGCTGGGGGACTGACCACCTTCTCCAGGCTGAGGGACTGACCACCTTCTCCAGGCTGAGGGAATGACCACCTTCTATAGGCTAGGGGACTGACCACCTTCTTCAGGCTGAGGAACTGACCACCTTCTCCAGGCTGAGGTAATGACCACCTTCTCAAGGCTGGGGGACTGACCACCTTCTCCAGCCTGAGGGACTGACCACCTTCTCTAGGCTGAGGGACTGACCACCTTCTCCAGGCTGAGGGACTGGCCACTTTCTCCAGGCTGATGGACTGGCCACCTTCTCTAGGCTGAGGGAATGACCACCTTCTCCAGGCTGAGGGACTGACCACCTTCTCCAGCCTGAGGGACTGACCACCTTCTCTAGGCTGAGGGACTGACCACCTTCTCCAGGCTGAGGGACTGACCACCTTCTCCAGGCTGAGGGACTGACCGCCTTCTCCAGGCTGAGGGACTGACCGCCTTCTCCAGGCTGAGGGACTGACCGCCTTCTCCAGGCTGAGGGACTGACCGCCTTCTCCAGGCTGAGGGACTGACCGCCTTCTCCAGGCTGAGGGACTGACCGCCTTCTCCAGGCTGAGGGACTGACCGCCTTCTCCAGGCTGAGGGAATGACCACCTTCTCTAGGCTGAAGGAATGGCCACCTTCTCCAGGCTGGGGGACTGACCACCTTCTCCAGGCTGAGGGAATGACACCTCCAGGCTGAGGGACTAACCACCTTCTCCAGGCTGAGGGAATGACCACCTTCTATAGGCTAGGGGACTGACCGCCTTCTTCAGGCTGAGGGACTGACCACTTTCTCCAGGCTAAGGGAATGACCACCTCCTCAAGGCTGGGGGACTGGCCACTTTCTCCAGGCTGAGGGACTGGCCACCTTCTCCGGGCTGAGGGACTGACCACCTTCTCCAGGCCGGGGGACTGACCATCTTCTCCAGGCTGGGGGACTGACCACCTTCTCCAGGTTGAGGGACTGACCACCTTCTCCAGGCTGAGGGAATGACCACCTTCTCCAGCCTGAGGGACTGACCACCTTCTCTAGGCTGAAGGAATGGCCACCTTCTCCAGGCTGGGGGACTGACCACCTTCTCCAGGCTGAGGGACTAACCTCCTTCTCCAGCTTGAAGGACTGACCACCTTCTCTAGGCTGATGGACTGGCCACCTTCTCCAGGCTGAGGGAATGACCACCTTTTCAAGGCTGGGGGACTGACCACCTTCTCCAGGCTGAGGAACTGACCACCTTCTCCAGCCTAAGGGACTGACGACCTTCTCTAGGCTGAGGGAATGGCCACCTTCTCCAGGCTGGGGGACTGACCACCTTCTCCAGGCTGAGGGACTAACCACCTTCTCCAGGCTGAGGGAATGACCACCTTCTATAGGCTGAGGGACTGACCACCTTCTCCAGGCTTAGGGAATGACACCTCCAGGCTGAGGGACTGACCACCTTCTCCAGGCTGGGGGACTGACCACCTTCTCCAGGCTGGGGGACTGACCACCTTCTCCAGGCTGGGGGACTGACCACCTTCTCCAGGCTGACAGACTGGCAATCTCAAATACTATTTCTCCAACGTGGATGAACTGAGTACATCTTCACTTCACTACTACACTTGTTGTCCCTGCATTTGACTGAAGAAGACTATAATGTGGGCGAAACGTTGCAAGAATAAAGACACCCAACTGTGTCACATGTCTTAATCATCAATTGGTCGGTATTTTATACCGTTTATAGCATAACTTAGCATCCAGCTTTTGCTAATTAATTTACATATCATAAGTATGATAATTCCCTCCTCCGAGACTCAAGATTTTTAATTTGAAGGTCAGTTTTAAGGGACTAGAGAGCGCTCGGGCTTTTTAATACCTTGATGCCTCGGGTGTAAGGAATGAGGTCAGAAAGCAGGTCAGGAATCTGGTCAGAAAGCAGGTCAGAAATCTGGTCAGAAGGCAGGTCAGGAATTTGGTCAGAAAGCAGGTCCGGAATCTGATTAGAAAGCAGGTCAGGAATCTGATTAGAAAGCAGGTCAGGAATCTGGTCAGAAGGCAGGTCAGAAATCTGGTCAGAAAACAGGTCAAGAATGTGGTCAGAAAACAGGTCAAGAATGTGGTCAGAAAGCAGGTCAAGAATCTGGTCAGAAAAGAGGTCAGGAAATGGTCAGAAAGGTCAGGCAACAGGTCAGGAAACATGATAGGAAGCAAGTCAGAAATCTGGTCAGGAATCAGGTCAGGAAGCAGATCAAGAATCATTTAAAGAGCCGTGTCAGGAATCAAGACTGGAATCATACTCACGAAATCGTAATGACACGATTGCAAACAAACCATACCCCGGCCGGGATTGAACCCGCGGTCAGAGAGTCTCAAAACTCCAGCCCGTCGCGTTAGCCACTAGACCAGCTAGCCACAATAAGATTCGTCCAACTAGGTATATTTCTACACCATAGGAAGGTTAGCACAGGCACCACTGTGACCACAAATGCAAGTTTTTACTGACGAATCTCCAGCTAGCGTGGCCGTGACGAACTCTAGCTCAAGTCCCCTCACTGCCGTCAACATGACTGTGGCTAGCTGGTCTAGTGGCTAACGCGACGGTGTGGAGTTTTGAGACTCTCTGACCTCGGGTTCAATCCCGGCTGGGGTATGGTTTGTTTGCAATCGTGTCATTATGATTTCGTGAGTCATGTTGACGGCAGTGAGGGGACTTGAGCTAGAGTTCGTCACGGCCACGCTAGCTGGAGATTCGTCTGTAAAAACATGCATTTGTGGTCACAGAGGTGCCTGTGCTAACTTTCCTATGGTGTAGAAATATACCTAGTTGGATGAATCTTATTGTGGCTAGCTGGTCTAGTGGCTAACGCGACGGGCTGGAGTTTTGAGACTCTCTGACCGCGGGTTCAATCCCGGCCGGGGTATGGTTTGGAATCATACCACAGTTCCAGCTGAATGCCATTTTGAAGTTAGTTCTTAGAGCTGACCTGACCTATCGGCGTCGAATTTTTTAAAAATGTGAATTTTGGCTTGAAAAATACTCACCGGTTACGATTTTTTTTTTCTGAAAAAACTAGTGTCTCTCCAACAATCGATTTAAAAATAACTGAACAATGTTTCTCTCTAATTAGAGCTTTCTTTAATAGTCTTAAAACGCTCTAGGGAAAAACATCACACAGGAAAAAAGCTTCTTCTGCACACTCCTGACCTTTCTCTGCAAACTTGACATTTTCTGGCAAGGTTTCGTTAAGAAAACATTTCGATTTTTTAAGATATTTATCAAGTCTTGACTTCATAAATGTTTACACAGAGCGAAAAGTCGTCCTTCGAATATATGTATTATATATATATATATATATATAGTGAAGCTCATTTCTGAATATGTGGTGAGATTTGACAAATTATTGTGCTAAACGAATACAATTACCATTACGTCATATTGATGAATTGCTTTGACTTAATAATGCCCAAACTTACGTCAGTGATAAACAGAGTTCATATTCTTGATTACATAAATTCTTTATACAACAGATTATTTTAGCACTGCCATACATCAATTGTGTGTATGAGGAAGCTTTTCAACAAATTATTCGTTTCGCTCTTCTAATACCAAATAATATATATATATATATATATATATATATATATATATATATATATATATATATATATATATATATATATATATACTTATGCAGCATATGGGAATCTTTATTCAGGAAACGTTTCGCCACACAGTGGCTTCATCAGTCCAATACAAAGAGAAGGCGTAAGGAGAGGAGGAGTATGAGGTAATCAGTCCCTCGGCCTGGAGTCGATGTGTTCAGTCCATCAAGATTGATGGACTGAACACATCGACTCCAGGCCGAGGGACTGATTACCTCGTACTCCTCTCCTTACGCCTTCCTCTATGTATTGGACTGATGAAGCCACTGTGTGGCGAAACGTTTCCTGAATAAAGTTTCCCATATGCTGCATAAGTGTCTCAATCTTCAACTTGTGGGTTTTTTCAAACCATTCATCTCACACACACACACATATATATATATATATATATATATATAATATATATATATATATATATATATATATATTATATATATTATATATATATATATATATATATATATATAATATATATATAATATATATATATATATATATAATATATATATATAATATTAATATAAATTTAACAGGCACTTAATTGATGTCATCTTTGGGAGGATTCGATCGTGCAAAAAGAAAAACACGGGGATAATTTTATTTACAAAATTTACACTATTTACAGGTGGCATTTACAGCGAGTAAAAAATATTCTTGCAGGGATACGAGTTTTTTTTTTATTTTGGTTAGTGAAAGTGGAAATTACATAACAATAATGCATTGATTAACTTCCCAGTGTGGAGCAAAACAAGACGTGAACTGTGAGCGCTACATTTTAGAAAGATGATCCCAATTTCAAAGCAGTATGGTACATTTCAGAATGATGAACCCAATTTCAAAGCAGCATGATGTAGGTGTGGAGGTACAGAATGTGTATTTTGCAGTAACGTGATCGGCTTGGTTAGGTTAGGTAAGGTTTGTCAGGAAACGGAATAAGTGTTTCCTGACGTGGGTCTTAGTCATATAATAACCCCGTAGCTGGAGCTTTTGGTCGTCTGACACTGGTGATCGACCTTTTATGATTTTGAAGCTGAGGTATCGTAGGTGATGTGTTGCTCATCCTCTGGATATTCAAGCTAAATAGAACGTAATTAGAGATATACGTTCGTTGAAACAATACATAACGCAGCTGTAGCAGAGATAGTATGGAGATAAAAGATAATATATACCTCCCGAACATTCTCCACCTGATTCACTACACCATATATACTCATGTACTCTTTACCCTGTTTATGACTTGATAAAGTCAACTGTGGAGGCGAGAATAGTAAGCAAAAGCACGCATTATACCACATTTGTGTTTATTTTCCTGGGACAGAAACACAGTGAATGTCTCCAATAATTAGAAGAGACAATCTTGCGATTTCACACGTCTCTTTAGCTCCGTAACCTTCATTTCTACGCTGGTTTATTTGCACTTGTTTTCCTTCCTTGTCATCTAGCTTGATATTTCCTATGCAACCTTAACCTATAAAAATCCTTAACATCCGCAAGTTAACAAAATGTGTTTCGGTCCCCGTATCCCATAAGCTCAGCTCCCTCAATCTTAGTGTGCACAGAAGGAATAGTACAAAGTGCTACGTAAGCTTCCTATGCAGTCCAATATCAGTTTCGAAGATTTGAAGTCAGTAAGAAGAAGTATTCGAAAGTAACCACATGAAAATTAACATCACAATTTCTCCAATAAAAATGGCAAGTCGTGCCGGCGCCTACACAACCCAAAAACAATTTGAGTCTTCCACTAAGATACACGAGATTTGGGAGTTTAAAGCCAATTGGAAGAGGCATTCTCTAGTTATCGCGAAGAGATTTGTTTTAGCCCGAAATTACACCAGCAGTTCAAATTTGAAGTCGTTCTCAAGATGAATTCTCAAGTTATCTGACTGTAAGGTTTGAAGTCGATCGGGTGAAGCATTCATAAATTATTGCACGAAAACCAATATCTTCAACAAAATTAACAAATTAGCACCTACATTTTCATCCTAGTGCAAAGTTTTTTCTATGACACACTTGCTTTTAGAATTTTAAGCCCTGTTAGAAGAGGCATTATTTTCCATTACATGAAAAACAGTTTGGTTAGCAAAACTAGCATATAAAAATATACATAACTCAAAATCATTCCAAAACTTTCTTTGAAAAAAAATGACATGGCTAAAAGTTTGAATCTGATCAGAATATGCATTCTCCAGGTATCATACAGAATCCGTCAATTCCGAGTTTATTAATTATGGCAGCAAAAAGGAAAATGTACACCTACACTTTTTTTTCCCCAAATTGTATCATACTTTCCAAAAGCTGCAACAGCCATTAAAGGCTTAAGCCATTCAAGACAGGCCTACTGCTGTTATTTTACGGGAAATAAAACTGGAGTGTGTCGGTGCAAATCAGTACCTACACAGTCCAATTACAATCCCAACTTTCTTCTAAATAGGATCCATCAGCGTTGAAAGTTTGAACGCCATCAGGAGTGGCTTTCCCAAATTATGGCCAGGACACTGCGAGTGATCTACAGCAAATGTCACTTATCAGATCGTAGCTGCACCTGCCAAAAGTTGCATGAAATTCCCTGGCATAAAAAAAAATTGAAGGTGATCAGATGAGGCATTTTCAGGTTATAAACGAAAACCTTGAAAGAAGGAACAAATAATTTAGGCCACCAGTTACAAGTATGCCTTGGGGGATACCGAATTGCTGGCACGGCCAAGTTACCGTGAGGACAAGACTTACCCAAGATCTGTCATTAGCAGGAGTTATGAGAGAAGTAAACCATTACACGCCGTGATGCGTGGCGCATTGACCTTACGGCACGCGAGGTTAAATTGTATTATAAAGTTCTTTGTTTCTACCCGGTAAAACTCGCATGCATTTATCCATCAACGAAATTTCCCCATGAATAAAATAACAATAATGTTTACCTTCCATACCTCAGGCACTGTTTGAGCCTTATGGGTTTAGCGCTTTCCCATAAAATCAAAATAATCCAGAGTTTTTAGATCCTGCGTCTATTCAAGGGACCTCAAGGGCTTTTGAAAATTGAAGAGTGTGGGAACAATTCAGAGAATCTGACCGGGCAGTTTCATTTTGAACGTCTCCCGAGACCTTGCAGTACACCGGACAGTCTCAGAGTCATTTGCAGAACCGGCTCCTGGGAGGTACAAAACAAAATACTCGGCTTTAAAAGATGCAACTAAATGGGTTGCCAAAAGAAGAAGACCGGAGTCCCCGTCTCTGTTTCTCGTCCCCTAAAGATGAGGACACTAGAGGCTTCTTTAGGTCCTTGAGTTCTCGGCTTCACCAACAGTCGTAGCCCAGTGGTGAGAGTCGCGCCTCTCATCAATGAGCTCCGGGGATCGAATCCCTGGACAAAAATAAATTATGTATGACCCTTATGGGTTTAGCACTTAGCTATAATTATAATAAACTCACGAAGTTTCTGCATGTCCTTGTAAGAGTTTTTAGCTTCTCCATGTCTCCAACAGCCCCAGAAAAATAACTCCCAGCGCATGATGGCGCTGAGATGAACGATCGCAGCTGCGCCTGAGCACGCGCATACACACAGAAAAAAATATTTTTACCACAAAGTTTTATTAATTTTTTGTATTTACACAAGTGCGTCTGATATAGACGATAAAAGTCCAACGATCATGTAATGAAATAGCTTTACCGGGAGAGAGCCGCGAGCTCACACGGCGTGACACCTTCGGTAGGCAAAGAAAACCATCGAAGTCTCCCCTGAGGATGATCAAGAGATCTGGAGAAGCGCTGTGAACACCCGCAACGCCACCGTCAGGAGCAGCAGCGTCAAGGGAAGCGGCTGCAGAGACCTGAAGCAGAGCGCAGATGTGGCCGCAGAGATGGTCAACGGGAGCAGCGACGCTGTGGAGCAGACACTGCTGTATAGGGAGTTGGAGGAGGCGAAGGTGGTAGTTGCCCCTCCACACAGCAGACATGGTGGGGCTGTGTTGGTCTGCATGGCTGCTGGATGTTCACCTAGAAAGAACACAGAACGACAATGAGCATCTTTGATTCTCACCTATAAAGAAGACAAGATAACAGTGCACTTTTTTGTCCTCGTCTGCAAGAAACACAAGACTGCAACAGCCTTGTTCAACACAGTAATGATGCACAACACTGTTTTCAACTTAACACCGAGAAGTTGTTGAATAAGACACATGTGTAACACTTGGATATCTTCATTCACATGTGCAATAAAGATATCCAAATGACACACATATGTCTTATTTATCAGCTCCTAAAAGCGATGCAGACGTTATACACACACACACACACACCACACACACAACACCCCACACTCACACACACACACACACACACACACACACACACACACACACACCACACACACACACACACACACACACACACACACAGGAGCTGTGACTCGACCCCCAGCAACCACAACTACGTGGGTACACACAAACACTCTCTCACTCTCCTACCCCATCACTTCTTGAAGAAAATTAATAAAGAGTATAATTCCAAATACATCACATCAGCACGCGTTTCTCCCGCTGATTTTTTCTTTTTTAAATACACTGAGGCAGTGGAAACATTTCCTCACTCTTGTCGAGACGCGATCCGGATCACCATTTATCACGCAAACCCACCAGTCAGGATCAGCGGCAGTGACAACACCTGTCAGTACTCCATGTTTACGTGAAGTGCTTGTGGCGTGAGTGGGATGGTGGTAGGGATGGGAGGAAAGGCTCTTGGTCCAAAGCCTTTTAATAGGATCAAACCTAATGGCCTCCCACTCCATTAAGCGCTGTTTGACCAGTAAGAAATTAGCGCATTCCCATAATAATAATGAACAATAATAATAACAATAATAGTAATGATGAGAACAAGAATAATAACAAATAATAATAATAAATTAATAATAATATAATAATAAATAATAATAAAATAATATATTAGTAATAATAATAATAATAATATAATAATAAATATAATAATAATAATAATAATAATAATAATAAAATAATAATAATAATAATAATAATAATAATAATAATAATAATAATAATAATAATAATAATATAATAATAATAATAAATAATAATATATATAAATAATAATAATAATATAATAAATAATAATAATAATAATAATAATAATAATAATAATAATAATAATAATAATAAAATAATAATAATAATAATAATAATAATAATAATAGTAATAATAATAATAATAATAATAATAATAATAATAATGACATTCAACTCAGTATCATAATTGTGTGAGAAATGGGTAAGATAAAGATGAGTTGAATAAATTAAACTGAAGAAGATATCTTACGATGTGAAAAGGTATAAGAAATGAGGGAAAAAATTAAGATAGAATGAAGAAATTACATGTGAAGGAAATTAGGAGCAAATTGGAAAGGTCTGAGGAAGAAATTTATGAGGACGTGAGGAAGAAATTAGAAATAATGAGGGAGAAAGTTCATCTAAAGAAGAAATTAGAAAGATGTGAGTAAGAAAACAGCAGAAAAAATTATAAGACTAGAAGGAGGAAATTAGAAAATTGTGGAAGATATTTAGAAAGTCACGAGGAAAATCAAAATAAATAAGGAAAAAATAAGTAACAAACTAGGAATATTTAAGAAAGAAAATAACATCTCTAATAAACATGGTTAAGACAAATCATAAATATTAACAATAAAAAAAAAGGCCAAGGCAAAAACATAGATAATAAAAAAATAAACGAACAAGAGCAAAATAAATTATAAATACTGAAAATAAAAAAAAAACTAAACGAACGACGGCAAAATAACAATTAAACAAAAGTGAAGATAAAATGTAAACGTTGACACTAATAATAATAAAAATCGGACTGAAGTTTATTTCTACACAAATATTAAGTTTTAAATATGACACTTGGACGTTAATATTATTATTATTTATTACATCAATAAAAAAACTGTATTACATTTGCAATGAAACGAAATTAACAGACACACACACACACACACACACACACACACAACACACACACACACACACACACACACCACACACACACACACACAATACCAACACACACAAACACATACCACTACCACACAACACCACCACACACACACACACACAACACATACACACACACACCACACAATACAACACACACACACATACACATTACACCACACAACAACACAACACACACACACAACCACACACAACACACACACACTACCAACACACACCAACACACACACACACACACACATACACCACACACACACATACACATACACACACACAAACTCACACACACACACACACACACACACACACACACACCACACACACAACATACACACACACCACACACACACACACACACAATAATACACACACCACACGCACAACACACACACACACACACACACCCCACACACACACACATCACACACACACTACACAACACACATCACACAAACGAAAAGCCTGTAATTGTTTTACCATGATGGTAGGATTGCTGGTGTCTTTTGTCTGTCTATAAACATGCAAGATTTCAGGTATGTCTTGCTACTTTACTTACACTTAGGTCACACTACACATACATGTACAAGCACATATATACCACCCTCTGGGTTTTTTCTATTTTCTTTCTAGTTCTTGTTCTTGTTTATTGTCCTCTTATCTCCATGGGGAAGTGGAACAGAATTCTTCCTCCGTAGGCCATGCGTGTTGTAAAGGCGACAAAAATGCCGGGAGCAAGGGGCTAGTAACCCCTTTCTCCTGTATATATTACTAAATTTGAAAGGAGAAACTTTGGTTTTTTCTTTTGGGCCACCCCACCTCGGTGGGAATACGGCGGGTGTGTTGAAAGAAGAATATATATATATATATAAATTATATAATATAAATATATATATATATAATATATATATATATTTATATTATTATAGATATATATATTTATTACAATAATGTGCTTTTCTTTATTCATGTATTGTGAGTTAATAAAGTATGTGTGTGGTGTGTGTGTGTGTGTGTTTGACAGAGACAAAGAAAATATTACCTTCACCACATGGATCTCTTTAAAATTCTCCTGAAACAGAGGTGTCAGTGAAGCCTTCCAGGCTGCCTCTCCTCCATTATTGAATAAATAAAATATATCTATTACTTTCAATTCTATACTTTATTTCTTTTTACCCTTGCTTTTGTATTTTTCTTTCAGAGAGACAGAGAGAGAAAGGGAGTTTGAGAGAAGAGAGAGAGAGAGAGAGAGAGAGATGATTCACAGCCAGTTGGCACACTAACTCCGAGAGATGGTGAGAGACAAAGTGCTCGCCTATTATGTATGCTCGTGAGGAGATTAGGTCGGGAGATCTGTTTATAGCTCCTTCGATCACCACACTGAATGGAAGTTTGGTGAGGTTAGAACAGGAAGGAGGGAGAGAGGGAGGGAATGGATGGAAAGAGGGAGGGAGAGAGGAACGGTGGGAGGGAGAGAAGGGAGGGAGAGAAGACTGGTGAGTAGGAAATCACTAAAATGTGTGTGTATGAGTGTTTGTAAGGGAATGTGAGTGGGTGGGAAGAGGAAGAGTGTGAGGAAGGTGGTTGAGAGAAACGGGTAGAGTGAGAAAGGGAGACCTGATGTAGGAGAGGGACGCAGGCAGACAGATAGACAGAGAAGAAGAGTAGATGGAGGGAAGAGAGGGTGGGTAGCGAGGAGATGGGAATCCCGGCAAGCCTTCACGAAATATTAATTAATTAATCTTGCCGTCGTATATCATTGGAGTTGTTAACATTAATGTAATTACATTGCTGATAGTTTATTTTTTAAGATTGTTTAATACGTTGTTGGACTGCACACACACACACACACACACACACACACACACACACACACACACACAACACACACACACACACACACAACACACACACACACCGCGCGCGCGCGCGCGCGCACACACACACACAAAACAACAGACCTACTGGAGTTCTATGACATGGTGACAGCAGTAAGACAAGAGAGAGAGGGGTGGGTGGATTGCATTTTCTTGGACTGCAAGAAGGCGTTTGACACAGTTCCACACAAGAGATTAGTGCAAAAACTGGAGGACCAAGCAGGGATAACAGGGAAGGCACTACAATGGATCAGGGAATACTTGTCAGGAAGACAGCAGAGAGTCATGGTACGTGGCGAGGTGTCAGAATGGGCATCTGTGACCAGCAGGGTCCCACAGGGGTCAGTCCTAGGACCAGTGCTGTTTCTGGTATTTGTGAACGACATGATGGAAGGATTAGACTCCGAAGTGTCCCTGCTTGCAGATGACGTGAAGTTGATGAGAAGAATTCATTCGATCGAAGACCAGGCAGAACTACAAAGGGATCTGGACAGGCTGCAGACCTGATCCAGATTGTTTAATACGTTGTTGGACTGTACACACACACACACACACACACACACACACACACACCACTCACCACACACAACCACTCACACACACACACCACACCACACACACACACACACACACACACACACCACACACACACACACACACACACACACAACACACACACACACACACACAAGTCAAGGACCAGGTGATAAGGCTGAGGAAAGAAGGTGGAGAACTCACAAGAAACGATCAAGAGGTATGTGAGGAGCTCAACACGAGATTTAAGGAAGTATTTACAGTAGAGTCAGGAAGGACTCTGGGGGGACAGACCAGATGGGGACACCAGCAAGGAATACACCAACAAGTGTTGGACGACATACATACAGATGAGGAGGAGGTGAAGAAACTGCTAAGGGACATCGATACCTCAAAGGCAATGGGACCGGACAACATCTCCCCGTGGGTCCTTAGAGAGGGAGCAGATATGTTGTGCGTGCCATTTACCACAATCTTCAACACGTCCCTGGAAACTGGGCAACTACCTGAGGTATGGAAGACGGCAAATGTAGTTCCCATTTTTAAAAAAGGAGACAGAAAAGAGGCA